TTTAAGGTTACACCTTAAACTCTAAGGCCACCAGGCTACCAGACAGTAGCATTCATGTTAAATACTGCACAGAAATAAAACTGAATGAAATGCACTTTGATTTAATTTTCTCAAGGAAAACAGAGAGCACCAATCTTCAACATGGTTTTCAGCTGCTTCAGACAGTACAAATCAACAGGAAAGAGAGAAAAGTACAACAGCACATAGCACACGTCCGTTAGCAAAACCATATGCAGTGGCAGTGTTTCATTGATTTTAATGGCACAGTGTGATGTGAAAACATGACAGGAGACACAGGGGAGATAACCCAGGCAGCACAGCTAGACTATTCCCAGCTGTTTGTTAATCCACTCAGCGATCACACCACCAAAAGTTTTCTTCGTGTTTTTCATCATTGATGAAGGGGCGGTGAAGCTTGTTCCTCTCTAAGACAAGGAAGACAAAGTTACACCAAGAGATGGAAATAGATCATGAAATACAAAAACTAGAATGATTTCCCAGTCACACAGCCACTTACTGAGAAAAGAAATCCTCAGAAACAAATGAAAAAGTCAAACAGACTGAAGTGGAGTCGATGGCAAACAGTGATAGCATAATTCACAGTATATAGACATCTAAGACCAGCACCAGAGCTGTTCAGATTTAACAAGGACGGGTGAGGGGTAAAGTGCTGATCTCCTTCATTTTCCCAGAAGATCTCTAGTTAACTGGGAAGAAGCTAGGCATATTTTTTAATGAAGTGGAGATACCACCCACATTCATCCTTCAACAAATCCACCTCTGGGACAACAGCAGGAGTTGTGTTTGCATTTTTGAAGTGCTTTACACTGACAAAAGTTAGCAGAGAAAGTGATTTCAACTGTTCCGCATGCTATGATACCACAGCACCAACCTCTGTCACTTTTACTGCCTGAATCTGTGTGTGTTGCTTTGGACATGTTTCTGCTGTAGACCCACCCCGCAGGCTGAATGAATGAAACATGCATGTGCAGTCTGCCCCTTCTGAAACACATGCACACAGAGCCTAAACATGTATAGCAACACCTGGTGGCCTTTATTTGCTGTTACATAATGATTATGTGGAATATATAAGAAGAAAACTGCCCTTTTAAATAGTCATGTAATTCTGTGTATATGCATGTGTGTGTAACTTTTAATGGCACGCTGAGTGTGAGCTACTTTCGATGAAGTATTGTTAAGATATTGGTGCTAAGCTGAAACTTTTTTTTTCTACAGAGCAATGTAGATAATTAGCTATCTATTTAGAGAGAGGGCCCGCCCAGGAAATACACAGGAGATCCTCACTTCATTAAAAATCAATTATTATAACACGTGCCGGCGCAATACAGCGCTCACGGCCACTCACATACACATGTACAAATGATCATCTAGTGTGCTGTACACTAGAACAACTATCTGTGCTTTGTGCCCTCTGAAATGCATCTCTAGCTAGTTTTCGCTGTCTATCTGTCTTTTACCCTCTCAAGAGATTGTACAGGCCTGCTCCTCCTCTTAGCTGAGGAATCGCCAGCATTGCAGTCCCGCTCTTACATAATAACCTCAGGATAACACTGACGCTCCCGCTGGGCGAGGACGTCAGTCACTCAGCTCAGACTGGGTCAACTCAGGTTGGAAAGATGTCCCACCCATCTCCGTAAAATGTGTAGGTGGGAGCAAAACAACTTCCAGAACAACAGATATGAGTGGGGGTTTTTTTCCTCTAAGGTTTTAAAAATTTATGCTTATTAAAGAGGAGTTAGGGAAACAGTTGCAGTAGACAGCTTTCTCTGAAGTTTTACTGTTTTTTTAGGAGTTCCCTTCTACTACTATTACTACTACTACTAGTGGAGTGTTAAAGCTGTGTCAACTTTGCATGCGTAATGTAAATCCATGAAATCCAAATGCATTATCACACATCCTATCTTTGAAAACAATAAGAACACAGCATCTGTATAATAACGTCTTAATTCTTCTACGTCTAATCCACCACTGCAGCTAAAGTAAGGGAAGGCAACAAGAGTGTATTATTGACTGGATGTGCAAGTGGGAGGTCTTTAGTAATCAGTTCACAAAGTCTCAGACGCTGAGAGATGCACGGCAGGATGAGCTGTGAGACGGCCCCAAACATCAATGATGACATCACTTCCTTTAAGAGTGTGACAGCTTAGCACATCATCGCTATGGCAGCCAGACAAGTGCAACGAGTGGGTGGCCACCCTGGCAACAGCAATGCTGTCATGACCGTCTCCCTATATCGTACCTGACAGTCTCCACTGGCAATGAGCACAACGCACACACACTCAACAATGCACACACCCACACACTTTGTCAAACACACACAGAATGTACACATATTACACATACTTTATCTGTCTCTTTTTTAGACGTGAAACGTTCACTCAAACCCTCTCTGAAACACACACTAAAACAATGCACAGGCCCGTGCTCCTTTGGGCGTAATTACATGATCACAGAGAAGTACAGTCTCTCATGGTGTAAAAAATGCATTGATACAGTATACTCTAATCACTGGGGAGAAACAGTAAACACACATCCTTTGAGGGAGGAAAATGTAAAGAACGTTTGCAAAAAATCAGCAGAAATAATCACTATGTACGGTACATTGACATTGCAGCAGCAGCAGCAGCAGGTGTGTGCTGAGCACATTCAGCTACAGAGACTCAACTGCTTCATGATCAAAAAATGTATCAGAGTTTGAGTAAATGTTTGGGATAAATATTAGCAATGGCAATAAGTAAGAGGATTGCAACTTGCACAGAATGAAGGAGATGCGGCATACGGCTGGTACAGTAGTGTTGTCCTGGCTTCTGTTTACTGCTCACAGCCATGTCCCAGGCACGACTGACCTGTTTTATAGACTATTAATAGTGTGTTTCAGGCCACGTTCATTGACAACTCTTTCTATGTGTAATCTGTGTGTTGTCCCAGTCCAGGGCTCTGCTCTGACCCAGTTTGGAGCCAGTTGGCAGGGAACTGGTTGAAATGGGTCACGTCTTGAGCCGCACCACAACTCTCAGTATAAGCGACGCTACCTCAAGCACACAGGGTTAAATGACATGTCATTCTGTCCATAGGTCACTGTTTCAATCTTTTGCTTAGTTTGACGTACTATACTGTATATACTGTAAGGTATAATTTACCAAGAGGCCATATGGGGACTAAAGACTCATTCATGCAAGATAACTATAACAGTGCATAATGTACAGTGTATGAAGAACAGTGCACAGCCCAGAGTCATTGCAGACTGGAAGTTTGTTTTTAGTTAGGCAGTGGTATGGGTCCTAATGGTCACTAGGGAGCAGATAGACAGGTGGCTGGATGAATGAGAGGAAAACAAATGGATGACTATACGAGCATCCTTACTTTGTGTATCCCTCATTATGCCCATATTCCCACTTTTTTCAAGCCGTGTTGTCCAACTGTGCCTCTGCAGATGGTTCACAGTACACAGTGGAGATCACATTCCTATGAATCAGCTGGCTCTGGCCCACCAACTCTGACTATCTGTGCATATTAGGGCAATGATTTAATGATACTTTTCATTGTGAGGCAGATGGACTGTACAGTGTATAGACAGTACTCTCTGTAGCTGCTCTGTGATCAACTTTCTCCACTGATCCTCGTATGGGATTATCCAGTTATATATACAGCACACTCATTCTCCCACAGGCAATTAGTATACAGTACACATATAGCTGCAATATACTGTATACCTGTATTGTACATTATATACACATACACAAACACTTAACGCTGTCTGATCAAATGCACAAAAATAAGCAGATAACCTTGTGCTTCACTGTCACATATACTTGCACACGCTACACACTCAGATATAATGTACACACGCCAACACACACATAGTTCTCTCTGTTGCTTCTGAAGCATCAACTCCAGTAGCACAATGTAGGTTTAAGTAATATCGCATTTAAGAGCAATAAATTATGCAAAAATGGAATTTAAAACTGAAAAACATTTCTGTTTAGCTTGTCAGCTTTGTCTCAGGAAGTTCAGACACCCTGCAGTATTTCCTACAGATGGAACTATGCAAGGAGATTGCATCTGAATGGGCATTTCAGCTTTGGCTAAGCCAGTGCTTAGCAGAGAAGGGAACCATCTTGTGGAGAAATAATTTAGGATTAGATAGGCTGTCTAAGCTCTTTATAGAGAGTGTGCTATCTCAGCAGACATACCTGCCTACCTGTTCATCATCCCATATCTCTTTATAGGAACAGTGTCTGTCTCTTTTCACATATTATAGATATGTTCAAAGACACTAGTGACAAGTGCTTCTGTGTGTTATATTGAAAAACTTTACTTGTTCATATTCTGTGCCTTCTTCTGTACATGGAGCTACCTACACACAGTGAGTAAAATTTTAACACAAATGAAGACTAGTTAAATTAGTTCATTTGAAGGTTTACGAAAAAGCTAAATACTAAAAGGGCTGTACAATGTCTGTGTCTGTGTGTGTGTGTCTGGTCTGTCTGTGAGAAAGAGCAATAGGGAGTGTGTGAGAGAGTAAGCCCTTCAGTCATGTAACCTGTTTTCTCATTATGGATCACCTTGCTAGTCTGCAGGGGTCTCTCCTTCAAGCGTAACAGAAAGAAGTCACACACAGAGTTAATGCTATCTGCTCACTTATGTGTGTGTGTGTGTGTGAACGTGTGTGCACGTACACAGTTCTCAAAGTCCCAGTCATTAGGAAAACTCCTACAAGGACACTGAGGATGTCCAGATGTCACTATGCCCTTGTGAAGTCAAGCTCACACACATACTTTACACACACACACTGTAACCTTAATCACGTCCTACAGCCACCCAGGTTTCTTTAACCTCAAATTAGACTGCCAACTGAGATTTAAAAATCTGGAAAGTGAGGGAACTGAATGAGGTGTTCTGAAAAATGGGAAAGAAAATTCTTTATTCAGTCCAGAGTGTAACACCTGTCTTTTCTGTCTTCTGTCTTTTGTTTGCAGCCCAAATCGAAGTTATACCATGCAAAATCTGTGGAGACAAATCCTCAGGTATCCACTATGGAGTCATTACATGTGAGGGATGTAAGGTGAGACTTAATACATTGTTTCATCAAGGCCTGTTTTGATTGCTTGTGCTTAAAATTGTGCAGTCAATCATGAAGATTCTGTAGCCATGCTTTGTTGACATGTAACCAGGGTTTCTTCAGACGAAGTCAGCAGAACAACGCCTCCTACTCCTGCCCCCGACAGAGGAACTGCCTCATTGACAGAACAAACCGCAACCGCTGCCAACACTGCCGCCTGCAAAAATGTCTCGCCTTAGGAATGTCCAGAGATGGTATGGCCCAGTATATTTATGTTTATACACAGAAATGATACCTACTGATTACAGGTCTATTAGTGTACACACAAATACATGGAGAATCTGGGCAAATTTTGCTTCTTAATGCTCCTGATCTAGTTTGGCAAGGTTTTAAATTTCAGTCTCTCTACACTGTATTATCTCCACATACAGCGGTAAAGTTTGGCCGCATGTCCAAGAAGCAACGTGACAGTCTGTATGCAGAGGTCCAGAAGCACCAGGCACGACTGCAGGAGCAGCGACAACAGCAGACAGGCGAAGCAGAAGCTCTGGCACGCGTTTACTCATCCAGCCTATCCAATGGACTGTCCACCCTTAACCATGAGATTGGCGGCACCTATGCCAATGGTCATGTTATTGAGATGCCCAAAGGTGGCCAGGGCAACGGAGGTGGTGTCCCAGGGGGCTACTATGGGATGGATTCTACCCAGCCATCTCCAGACCAGTCAGGTTTGGACATGTCAGGCATGAAGCACATTAAGCAGGAGCCCGTGTATGATCTGACGCCTGTACCCAACCTGTTCAGCTACGGGGGCTACCAGGACAGTCAGCTGGGACACAGTAATGTCATCATGGGAGAGCTGGGTAAAGGCTGCATGATAGTTTGCTCTGCTTGTAAGACAGACATGGTTCATCATTAAAATCTATGTGAACTATCCACATGGGAAATTAAAGTAGTCCACGTGGAGAGCGCAGGTCAGGGTGCTAATCTGGGAGGAGAGGAGGAGATCAGACAGCCTTACACAGCTAGATGACAAGGTGTCATATTACTGCATGTACAGTTTAGGCTGTTAGCACAAGTTAAGGTTTAGTTAAAATTGAGTGCTAAAAATCCAAGTGATGGTTAAATTAAGCAGCAATGAATAAATGTCTTCCTCTAAATTTCCAACAGGTAGGGAGCATAGCACATACAGTGAAGAATATGTCCTTACCTACCATTAACACATTAAATTTTGCACTTTATCAAATGTATAAATGAATGAATAATTGAATGAACATATTATATTGAGAGGAGTAACTGAATAAGCAAACAATTCCCTTTTCTAGACCGCATTGCTCAGAATATCATCAAGTCCCACTTAGAGACATGTCAGTACACAACAGAGGAGCTGCAGCAGCTAGCCTGGCAGACACACTCCTATGACGAAGTCAAGATGTACCAGAGCAAGGTGAGGTTTTATGCTATGACACCATCCTCAGGAACACAGAGGAACACGTACATTTAGGGAAACCAATAACCAATATCTCTTCTTTCTTTTTGTAAAATTCTGCGCTCCTTTGTCCTTTTATAATTATAGTTTTTATACATTCCTACTAGAGGTGTAAGGTACTTCATCTCTCCTTCTGCTTCTAGTATATATTATGTTCAATGCATTAATGGCCCAACATGTGCAACACTTTAATATGATTTTTTTTTTTTTTATCAAGAACTTTTTCATTATTAAAGAGCCAAACTGAGTTCAACTTTTCTTTCCCCCTCTCTTAAAGTTAGGGTTGGTGATCCCAGAAAAACCAGCAAGAGGAAGCTTGATTTTGAAAGTAGAAAGCTGAAGAAATCACACCCTTTCGTTCTGACTTCTCTCCAAAACACAATATGCACTGCAACATTCACTGCCTGACTACTAGTTACAGATTTCACGAAAATATCAAATGCCTCCCTAACAACACAGACCCATTAATTGCCTGTCTAGCAGAAATACGGCCACCGTGGCATCATTTTCAGCCATTTTTGTTCTTGCATTTGTCACTGTCATTCAAAAGCCACAACAACGTTAATGCTGGTTTTACTTCTTGCAGCACCCAACTTCTTTTTAGTTGTAACTTTACTTAGATACGATGTTACCCACCCAGGACCTCTGGTCCATGGTTAAACTGCTTTAGCCCTGGCTCGTAGCTGGTAACCAGCCTCAGAGGTCCGTTTGTAAACAAAAACTGCTGTAGGTACCTCCCCTGCCATAGCTTGCTAGCTTTAGCTGTAAAACAGAGCAGTAACACATCTGCCTGCAGCTGCAATGCTTTGTGGGAGACAGCAAGTAGTTTTGCTTGGGATGAATAAAATTAAGAGTCTGGTCAGGCTTTTTTTTTTTTTTTTGCCCTGCTGATGTAACAGATGACGGATCATTTTCTTTATGTCGTCAGTGAATTAAATGTATTCATTGCCATCGGGATATAAAGATAAATTCAAGAAATGCAATAATAATGCTTCTGGAAGGAATCACCAACCCTCCCTTTAACGTGGAAAGGAAACATATTTATTCAGGTGTTGTCAGCAAGAATATATGTGAAATGGGTGTGTGAGAGGAGGGTGGCAAGATATTTTGTTTCATTTTTCTGACATGACTATAACTACACAGATAGTAAGCCTAAACTAGGTGTGTTTGGCTTTAGCCCCGGGACATGCTGTGGCAGCAGTGTGCCATTCAGATCACCCATGCAATCCAGTATGTAGTGGAGTTTGCCAAGCGCATCTCAGGGTTCATGGAACTGTGCCAGAACGACCAGATCCTCCTGCTCAAGTCAGGTGAGTCAACAGGACTTAAGATGTCAGGTTCGGGGGTGCTGTATGTCTTTGTCTTGTCACAGGTTGGAAAATGTCACTCAGGGAAGAAAAACTGGATTCTTTTTTTCGCCTTTTAGTCACTATATCACTGTCAGACTCAGACAGTCTCTCTTCCCGGTTCTTCCAGGTTGTTTGGAGGTGGTCTTGGTGCGGATGTGCAGGGCATTCAACCCTCTCAACAACACTGTGCTCTTTGAAGGGAAATACGGAGGCATGCAGATGTTCAAAGCTCTAGGTATGACATTAGTACCGACGCATTTTGTCTTGGTATAAATGATGGATGAAAGCCAACTGAAATTGAAAGAAAAAGAGAAAAAATGCAAAGCATTTAAAGGTCATCTTCTCTGTGATGTATGTTACTCCCCAGCTGATACAGTCCATGTCAACAATGTGTAAGAAAACGTTCTCTTTTTTTGTTTGTCATTCCCTGTCCACTTATTTGTTTCGCTCCAAGGTTGTGATGATTTAGTGAGTGCGGTGTTTGACTTCGCCAAGAGTTTGTGTTCTCTTCAGCTGACAGAGGAGGAGATTGCTCTGTTCTCGGCAGCTGTACTAATTTCCACAGGTCAGTGCACATTGCCTTATAATATTATAACTTAGGAAGCAATCTGTGTGGAGAGTCTGCACTGAATCAAGACACTTAATTGTAAAAGTCAGCAAAACAAGAGCATTCCTGTTTATGTGTCTGTATAAAACTGTATAATCACCAGTGTTAGCACTGACAATATGAAAATCCAGTGCAGGTCCATGGTTTATGTGTCTGTATAAAACTGTATAACAACCACACTGACAATATTAAAATCCAGTGCAGGTCCATACACAAAAGAGTTGTGCATCTCAACATCTTCTTTCTACTCAGATCGCCCATGGCTGATGGAGCCTCGGAAAGTCCAGAGGCTCCAGGAGAAGATCTACTTTGCTCTGCAGCATATTATGCAGAAGAACCACATGGATGAAGATGCGCTGGCCAAGGTAGGCCAAGCCACAGTAATTGAGATAAGTCATACCACGAATGTACAGGAATACTTACACTAAAGGAAAAGACAATTCAAACACAGACAGCGCCCCTCTGACCTCGAGGAGAAGTGAAGCAATGTGGAAAAACAAATCAAAACAAAAGACACGACACTCATCTCTTAACATTCTCCATGTCTGCACTATATCACTCTTAACTTTCCTTGTCCTTGTCTGTCTCTCTCTTTTTTCTTGCAGCTGATCAGCCGAATTCCAACACTGTCAGCCCTGTGCACACTCCATACCGAGGAGCTCCAGGCCTTCCAGCAGCTCCACCCAGAAACAGTCAACGTACTCTTCCCTCCACTCTACAAAGAACTCTTCAACCCCGACCCCAACTCTGCCATGGCCATGCCCAAGTGACTGCCTGTGGTCCCACTACAACAAATGGCACAAGCAGATGACCCAGAAAATAAGACCACAGCTATGTGGCAACCAGATATTTCTGAGCTCCTCGAGCTCTACTTCAGGCCAGGGGTTGAGGAGTCATCTGCCAGAAACGTAGTGACCACCAACAATACTAGGAATGTCCAGCACTTACACCATCCTGTTCACCGATACAGTCTGAAGAATGTGTATAAATGAAACGTGCCCTGAGCCACAGCCTGAGCGGGGCCTCCTCCTGTCTTCTGAACTGAACTGACTGACCAGAAATGTACAGATTTTAAAACATCTAGGAACAATTTTAAGCTGTCAGTCTTTTTAAAAAAAAAAGGTAAGTTAATTTGTTATAAAATTGAAAACAATTGTTTTTGTTTGATTTTTTTTCACATGAAGGAAAGGTGAAGATGAAGAATCTGAATATGAGAGGGAACTATGAATTTAGAGCTATTGTAGATATTCTTCTAGTGCAGAGCAGATTCCAGTATTACTTCTTGTTCTGTTAAAATAAGTTAGTCCTAATTTAAATATACAGCAGTCCGATCTGGCTGGCTATAACTTGTGTATGTGTTTTATTTTATTTCATGGTTTCTTGTATACAGAATTTGTAAAGTTGAGGAAAAAGAATATTGGGTAAAAACCGGCAGTTCACTTGGGTTTGTTAATATATAGAAGCCTTGTCTGGATTTTGTTCATATGTAGAGCAGGAACTGCATCCTTCTGATGAGAACTTATAGAAATGTAAAAAGAGCATATGAAGGATTTTAAAAGAAAATTATGGCTACTACTTTCAAGTTGAAGATATGTACATAAATATTCTATTTTGGAAGAAAAAGAATCTGGCAGATTTGCCATCCTATCAATCATTTATTTTTTTCTCACTGCAATAATTGTGTTCAACAAAAGCCGGAATGCTTTCGAACAATCGACCAGAAACAACCAATCAGAAACTAGGACCTCACAATAAGCCCCACCTCTTCCCAAATTCCCCTCACCTTTAATATAACTCACAATGTTCAATCTTCTAAGAGCTGTATGAGTGCTGTGCCCTCACCCCTCCAATCACTATTTGCACAATCCGGTCCATGGATTTCAATCACACGGGGCTGTGAATATGAAGGACCCCTTTCTTTAAAGAGCAATAACTTTCACACTGGCATTCTGATCTTACTCCTCTCCTTTCCTCCTCTTCCTGTTTTTAGCTGTTCAGAACAGGGTAGCAGTCTTAACTGGCATGCAATGTGTGTGACTCTTGATCATTTCCACAGATGTTACTCATTCCACCACAGACTCTGCAGTGTTTTTAATTCGACACAGTGTGATCTGGGGTTAGTGCATATAGTATGTTTGATAGAGCACTGACCGAAAGATGTGAAGAAGTGCAGATTACCCATAAATGAGCTCTAATACCATTTAAATTGCATTATTACGTAATCTATAGAGAAAACTGTGATAGACAATCACTTTGTGCTTTTTTCTAAATCATTCCATAATTATGAGCACTTATGGATTTCTTTCTTTCTATATTGTTTTGTTGACTGGCATTTGGCCACTGTGTGAAGTCAACGGGGCATGTATACCATCTGAGCATGTTACTGTAATTTTCTGGCAGTTATCCGTCTTTTGTGCTGAAGGAATAATGTGAAAAATCACTGAGGATACATGTGATTTAGAGGTTTGTGCAGTTCTGCATTTAGCCACTAGATGCTCTTTATGCTTTGCCTGTGTAAAGACATCTTTAATGAGCCATGATGACTAAGGAGCTTCCTTTTAATATGACATATGAGTGACATACTACACAATATTAGCACAAAATTAATCAACTGATGGTACTTTTTTGGTTTGTTACTTAAATACTTGATAAAATGACAAATTTGCTGAATTTTTATCTACAACTTTAATTACTATGACTATTCACGCACTAAAGGTGCCTGTTGTTTGCACATGTGCACTGCACAGTGGCCAAATTTCTACCTTCCTATAGGCATAGACACAGACTGGTTATGTATTCATTAACAATAAGGCTTGATCCATGCACATTTTCATCTTTCCATACGTTTTCTGTGTGGTGACCTAAACAATGTCGACAGCATGGGGAATGAGCATCAATGTTAAACATGAGCAATCTGCTCACATCCATTTGTTCCATGCTGTCCATTACCCAGGTTCCTCCAAAGCCCAGGATCCTTCCTTCGACCCCTGACCCAACCTCAGATCAGAGGCCAGTGACTCTTAAAGACAATCACTTGCTCATTAAGGCTTGATGCACTACCCAGCATCTCTCAGGGAGCAGCTGTTTTTCTGACTTTGCATTAAAAGAGGGATTCATATTTTTGCAAATTTACAAAAAATGCAATTAGAAAATAACTTTTTAGGATAAAAAATGGCGTACGCTGCTGCCAATGTATGCCAGTGATGGAATCTGCCCAGACAAGGCTTTGATAAGTGTGTGTCTGTGTGTATGCGTCTATAGAGCATGAATTCACTGTCCAGATCTCTTTAGAGTATATGTATACTGTATGCCAGTGTGCTCTTGTCACCACTGTACACTCATGTTTACTACTTATTTTGCTGCTAGTGGGACCGTGAGGGAAGTCCACTTAGTAAGCTGTGAATCAAGCGCCATCACAACACCCCTGGGACAGTGAATTCCAACTCTGAATATAAGGTTTTTGTGTATGATGTTCTTATTTCCCCTTGTTAGACTGTGAATCAAGAGGGGTGGGATGGGGCTGTCAAGAACAAGTGGCAAAGCAACACTGTAAGTAAGATACTGTAGCAATAACTGGAGGCATTTACTACTGTCATGTTTGCATTGTAAGATTATTTTTTATTTTATTACTATTTACTATTATTATTGTTCTTATTATGCCTACTATTCTTCTATTAGTCTACTGTTGTTCAGTTCTATTTGCATGACATTTCATTGCAATGAAATATTTGGGGCTTGTGTTTTCTCATGATATTGTGGGTTTCGTGGGACAGTTTATTGACTGAGTGAGTGATGGGTTCAGAACAAATACCACATCAGTTCAGTCAGTTCAAAGCAAAATTTTTTCACAAGCTGAAAGAATTTTTTTTAATAAAATGCTCTTATTTATACACAACCAATTTAAAATTTATTGTTGTATTTAAATGATTTTTTCTCAACCTGTGAATGTGTGAGTTGGTATAACCAGTCAGTGAACAGCCCTTTCTGAACTGGCCTTATTGAACCAGATCAGAGACCCTTAACCTGTGGCAGGAGGGAACAATGTGGGGAGGGTAATATTCTGAATGTTATGGAGTAGCCTGTTCAGTGTGAGCGGCTGAACTCATCACGCGCCTTTACCACTCCATCAACACAGACTGACATCGCAGAGCGCACAACACAACCAGTCGTCGCTTTACATGACGGCTCAGGTAAATTAAACAGACATTTTTAATACACTTGGTCTGAAGTACATTTCCTACACTTAGTGAAATACACTCCACTCCAAACCTCCTACTCCCTTTCCTGTGCAAACCTGTGTGAGTGTCTGTGTGAGAGAGAGCAACGGAGAGAGTGATGTTTGCTCTACCAGTGCTTTGTAAACTTTCATGATGCATTACACATGCATGCAATTGAAGTAGCATTAAAAATGGTTAATTTATTGTTTAGAATGTCTTTGTGTCCCAGCAAGAACAAATATAACTAAATGTAGCAATCTGTAACTGAAATGTAAAAGTTACTACAGAGCCTCTTTTACACAGGACTAACAGAACAATGCAAAAAAAAAAGAAGATTTTTTTTGTTTTCAAAGTGCCATAGCTAGTGAGGAGAGGAAAGGCTGGCAAAGTGGGGCGTAGATGCTTTACTGTGTGCGTTTACTTGAGAAACCAATCAAAAAAGGAGAACTCTAAGGAAAATGTGCATTTGATTACTCTGAAGAACCATTTTTACATTTTATGCTTTCAGTTGGTGAGACTGGACTCTGCTGGACTCTGAACTCTGACTCTACAATAAATCCATGAGCTCTACTATAGTTTTTCATTTTCAAGAGTGTGTGCATATGTGCATGCATTTATTTGCATTAAAGAGCCTGTCGCAGTTGATGGATTACACTGGGTTTAAGTTCAGAGCTATGCAGGGCCTAAGTGAGTCCTCCTTTGAGATGTATATACAATGTGAAGGCCTGAATTGATTTTTGTTAAATTCTATATTTTATTGCTTTTGTAGACATTTTGTTGTGGGAAGAAAAAAAATAAAAAATTTTATGGGAATATTTGTGCCTTGTTTTTATGTCTCACACATACAATGTTAGATGTTAGATGTCTTTATTTTAAACAGACATTGAGCAATTTTATGCTGGAAAATTAATCCATAACGTATACTGTGAGAACAATTTTGTAAGTCTGTCTTCAGGTAGAAATGTTTCGTGTTGGTAAAAGTATGTGCCTCCTGCTTCCTGGGTCATAGGTTACACACAGCTTTCAACGTCTTCTTCTTCTTCTTTCTGCGATGACAGCTCTGCCTCACTGCTATTCTCGCAGCTGTCCGGACGTTTCCTTAAATCTGAACAACAGAAACATCAGTGTGACAGGTGTGGAAGTTAAGTCCACGCATCCAGCATAAATAATTTGGTTTGATTTGTTGGGAGAAATCTTGGTGAGGACATGAGAAGATGAAGAGGAAACACAAAGCACCTTCGGGATATCAAAACAACTGTGTCTGAATGTTTGTGTTTGTTCGCTGGGCTTGTTTGTTTTTGAGCATGCTTTCTTTCTGAGCAGTTATCCTCCAGATGCCGATATCATGTCTACCCAGAGACGTTAATTAATAGCTAATCAAAGCTAATTTCTCAGCAGCACATCTCCATCACAAAGACATGATTAATATGTAATCAAAGGCCATGCAGCACAACGCACAAGGCAGGGCCCACCCCCATGCCTCAGACACTACTGTTGTTATAGAAATAAACGAACGCTCATGGTTTAATTAGCTGGTTGTTGGAGTGTACTGTCTTCATTTGAAGTTGTTTGGTATTTAACTCAGAGCCAATGCTGGGCCCCTTGAGTGACGACACAGAGGGGACCTAGAAATACAGGCATATACACATGTGCACAAAAAGAAAAAAAAACATACTGAGAAATTAAATCTCATGTAAATACTAATTCACATCCATGCATTGTTTAGACACAAATACAGTATGCTCTCTACGTAAACAGCTGAACATGAACATGTTTTCTGATGCGTTTGTACATTTCTGACCTTCTAGGCCCAGTTTGTGGCAGCAAGCACTGCAAGAGTGTTTCTGCAGAAAGCTGTTGATGGCAGTATCTCCAAGGTTATCAGGACCAAAAAGCATCTCACCCCTGCTACCACTGCAACGGGGTCACAGGCAGCACAAGAGTGAATAAAACACTCAGTCTTTCATCAATATATGTGAGATTATTTGAAGTTCTAAAATCAGAGGTGAATGATTTCTGACATTAATAATCTTGATATATGTGGCACAAGTGGTTACTGTACCTTAGGTCATCTGCCATAATTACTGTTGGATCCGTCAACTCTTCTCCTACTCCTGTCAAGAAAATAGAAATACATGAAAAAAATGAACCAATATAGAAAAAAATATATGTGCACACACACACATATGCTCAACAACTCATAGATAAGGATTCACCTTGTATGTCAAGCACCAGCAGCTCTCTGGTTGAATACTCATAGGTCCAGTGAGAGAAGGCTAGCAGCATTTCTTCCAGTGAACAGCAGGGGGCGATCTCCTCTCCTGTGTTGTTATTGTACTTCCTGAAGTCACCAGACATGTTCCTCTCAATAGTCAGCCACTGGCCATTTGAATGCCAGAGGACCAGTGATACATCTAAAAATCTGGTGGAAAGAAAAAGATAATTCATAGAGACACATAAAGTAGATACATATATTCAAGAGACAACACAATCACACACACACACACACACACACACACACACACAAACCTTGGTGAATGATGCATATTATCAGGTTTGACCTGATTGAATACTTGCATCATCTTCTGGGCTGCTCTCTGCTGCTGGATCTCCTTCAGGAATGTCAAACAGAAGCTGTTTAGAGAGTTGTTGGGAATTTGTAGTTAAGAGATGTACCTAAATAGTTCTAATTCTGCTAACTGCCCTTCATATAGGCTCTTAGAAATTTCAGCAACAACAATTCAGTAATTCCCTGCCTATGTTTTTTGATACACTTACCCTTAAACAAAGCTGCAGTGCTGTGCTACCAGGGAAGTACCTCTGCCAAGCACGAACCACTTCTGGCCTGAAGGCTTTGACCACATATACCCCACCAAGCCTGAGCACATCCTGTTCTGCCCATGTACATAACACCCTACAGCCCCGCCGGAGACCCCCATCAAGAGAGCCCTCCTCACTGGATAGGGTTTGCAGCATCGCAGACAGGCCTCGTGACGACCAGGAGGAGACTGTGCTGCATACAGGGTCAGTATCAGAGGGCACATCCTCCAGGGTGTAAATGCTCACTTCTTCACCTCCTGTACAAAATGAGGACAAGCTAAATAAGGTGCATAGAAAGAGAAGGGAAGGAATTTAACAGTAAAACAAATATGATAAAAAAAACATAAGGTGACTGTGACAACACAGTTACCCAAAATGGAAACAGGAGTGAAGGGGATAGTGTGAGCCAGTCTCATAAGATTGTTCCTTTCCATGGCTGATAACACAAAAACACACAGTCAGACATAGTTAGAACTACACAGGTGCTAAAATACAAGTAGAATTACTCATGAAATGTCAGAAAAACAGATGCACAATACATGATTTCAGGTAGTAAAAGTGCTTGGAATCTGGTGATTTAATCAAACAATTGTCTGCATCTTAATACCTGAATAGTGCGGATATGAACTGTCAGTGGACTGGAACCAGGGGCTCTTGGCTGAATGAGAAATGAATATACAATAAATCACTCTACAATTCACCAAATAAAGATATTTTTGGTGTAATGTATCCAATTTGTATGTTCAGAAATACCTTCAGGGGCAATGCTACTCTGTACACTACAACAGAAACATAAAGGAAATAAATGTCATTACAACAATCTTCAAGTTCATGGATATTATGGCAGACCTAAAGAAAGGCAGACTTACGAAAACCTTCGGTTCATGGATCTGGTCCAATTGTTCCATGCTGAATGAGTAGGGCTCCATGTGTCCTGAAGGTCAATGCAAAGATAATCAGACCAATCTTACTGACATATATCATCACCTCAGTATTTCTAGTGTCTCCACTACACTGCCACATATTTACCTGATTTGAACACACTTGCTTCTGTGACAAATCCATGGGTTCAGAATCTGAAACAGATTTGTTATTACCAGCATTCAGATCTTTAGAACAAAACTTATGTTGTAGTAACTTATACATTGTGTATTTTAAGGCCACTGTTTCATATTTGTTTATTAATGCACAATTCAAAAAGGCCTCAGACAAATCAATAGGCTCTTTTTTATTATCCTCTATGACCTTGTGCAACTGTATACTCAAATTTAATAGGATGATGGATATTACTAATTATTAATATGTCATTAATTTCTATAGTACTGTAGGTCCTTACTGAGCTGACTGAGGCTGGTTGAAGCAGACCAACATGTATGCTCTCCTCTTAACCTCCGGCGCCTTCTCCAGCAGGCATCAGACAAATGGGACTTCACCGTTACCAATTTACCATAACAGTTCCAGGTGGAGAGTCAGAGAACATAAAACAAAACAATTAGCACGGTTTCAGGTTTATTAATCCTGCAATACTCAGTTCCCTGCTGAAGCTCCATGGGGAAATTTCAATTCTCATGAATAAAGTAAATCTCAACAGTATCTGGTGGCACATTACAGTATCTGGATTGCTCTCTTGTATCTTCACTGTCTTCCTGTTCCGGCTTTTGCCCCTGCTGTCTAAGGTATGCATGAAGTCAGAAGACTTGGACCACTCTGCATAAACAAAAACACACATCATATGTTGGAAACGGTAGCTGCATGACAACTAAAATAAAAATAGGACAAAGTACACTGATTTTTTAAAGTAGTATAGAGTTAGTTTTTCTGTTATCATGAGTGACAAGACAGTGAAAAAAAATGGTGCACATCTGAATAAAGCATGTCTCTATGTATATAGCCCGTTAAAGTACTTTGAAGAACAATACCTGTGCTGCTGCTGCACCTTAGTGAGGTCTTGGCTCTGAAGCCTCTCCCACCAGACAAACTCTCTCTGTTCGTTGCTTCATCGAGAAAAGGAAATGATCCCCTCGTTGGACTGAGGGGAGCCCCAGAGAAAGTCATCTTCTCTATGCTGGATGACAGAGACCTGCAATAGCCATAGGGATGGTCTCTGAACAAACCTTCACACCTGAGGGATTTCAGAGATCTTTCCATTTGGCTTGAAGGTCTGAACCGAGAAACTGGTGGGCTATCATACTGAGAAAAGGCAGGATTTATCAAACCCTCAAAGATGTCTTGAGGGCCAGACAGAAGCATAGCATTGCTAGCAGCTCGGGAAACATCTATATCAGACAGCTGTTTGTGTGTCTTTTCCTCCTCTTGGTCTTCCTCTTCTTCATCATCCTTCTCTTCTTCTACCTCTTCCTCCTCTTCCATGGATGTGTCCTCCTGACTGGGATACAGGTCCAGAGTCCAGAGTTTATGATATGGTGACTCCAAGCCTCTGGCAGAAAGAGGGGATCCACAGCGAGATGGTACACATGAGTCACAGGGCGTCTGATCCCTGAAAACACCAAGATGAACTCCGTAAAACTGAGAGAAGGAAGCGTGGGATGCAGTTCTAGATACTCCTGGCCAGTTCTCACTGGGATGATTGACAGCGGGAAACTGTGAATCCTAGGGAAAAATGTGTTAAACAAAATGCAAAGGTCATTAGTTATTGCCTGATAGTTTTGTATTCATAAGTGTGATACTGTACTTTAGAGTTTCTTTAAGAAAATTCTGGTTTTACTCCCTCTCAGGTTGAGGTTAGGTTTGCAACCTTTCTCATTTTGTTTTGCTTCCCATCACACCTATTATAAAATCCATCCATCACTTATAATATAGAGGGTCAGGGGTGGGGGGCTTTAGCCAATCCCAGCTGACATTGAGTGAGAAGCAGGGCACACCCTAGACAGGCTGCCAGGCAGACAGCTACACACACTCACAGTCACAGCTACAAGCAGTTTGGAGTCACCAATTATGCTAACCCACTTGGGAAGAAGCCAAAGTACCTGGAGAAAACCCAGACAGGCATGGGGAGAACATGCACACTGCACACAGATTAAAAAACCCCATTTAAGTACCTACCTCCTTTATTCCTTGCTCTCCCTCCTCTGTGTGTCCTTGTCTTCCTTTCCTGCTTGCCCTGGCTCCAACATGGCACTCCAGAGTATAGCCCTTCAGTAAAGAAGGTGGGGTGCTTTTACATGACTTGGCCATCAGTCGACGCATGTTAAGTGCATCACAGTCGGCTCCACTGCTGTGCGGGAGGGTCCAGCTGTGTGGGAGGATGTGCCGGGACACTGTGGTGGGGCGACACTGAGCCAGGCGTGCCTCCTCCTGATGTAGGCTGTCAGAGGCAGAGAGCAGAGTGAGGGTGTCCACAGCCAAGGCTGAAAGGTCCTGGAGTTGACCCAGCTGAGAGTCCAACTCCAAAAGGCTGTCCTGAATAAAGCCGACCTTTTCAGAGACCTCGCCCACCATTGTGCACATCTCCTTTGCTCTAGTGGAACACACATTTTAAACAAACATTAAAAAGTGTTTTTCCTTTGCTCTTCTTGCAGCAAGTCAATGCAGTTGGTACCAATGGTACAATGAGATGGACTTTTTAAAGCCACTGACAGGAGACATTACACTGTATATTACTGTATGTCACATATAAAATACGATTGTCTCAGCAAGCAAACATACAGAGGAGTGAAGCCTGTGTTAATAGGACAGTAATGTGTACGCACTAGATTGTGAAATAATGTCAATTGAACTTCTATCTACTTATCAAAAACAGAGAAAATACAAAGCACAATATTTTTTTTTCATCTCCTCATGAGTAAAAGCATTGTTCCCATGTCACTTATAAATCAACTTTACCTTGTTATCTTTCATCTTCATTATGAAAACACAATAATAATAATGAGTGGTACATATGACAAAAGGAGCCATTGCAGGTGTTATAGTAGGAAGAACATACTGAGTTTGGCATTGGACACAGATGTTTGACCTCCTACTTTCTATAGGAACTATAACCACATTACAACACTGCTCCACAATCAGCTTATACAGGACAGCAGACCATATAGTTTAAGACATTTCTCTCAGTTATATCAGATAGAGCCCCCAATACTTAATGTTTCCAACTCTAATGGTTTATACAAATCATTCAAGTATCAATCCAACCTCTCAGCTGTTGCTCTGATCCTGTTCACTTGACTGCTGTGGAGACCCTCACTCTTCTCATGGATGTAGGCTTGCACACATTTCTCTTCAAACTCATGGAGCTTCTTGTAATCCTCAAGGCCCAGGTAGAGCTCTGATAAGCACAGGTAAGACAGTAGAACTGACTTTATTACTGGACACATGTCTGTAAAGTGACCTGTAAGATGTGTATAGACCAATGTTGAATTGGTTATCTATCCACACAGTACTCACTAAGTCCAGAGTCTCTCTGTCCCTGCTCAGCATCTCCACTAATTCTCCTGTGAACGGCTCTCAAACCTAGGATCATGTGACTGAGGAGGATAAGGGGTGGAGGCAGCCACGGCTTCTCCTGATAGGTCATGATGTAGCGATAACGGTGATACCTCCATAGCTTATTAGATTTTGATGCCATGTCAAAGTAGATGTTGCTGTTATTGAGAAGACAACATTCAACTAAATAAAAGTGCTCTTCCACTGTGAAAACTAAAACTGAACTTTGCTTATAAACATGCTTACTTAAAAAATGCAATGAGAACGTTCACCATGATGATATACTGGAAGAACATATAGACAGCCTGGAGGAACGGCGTAACAAAGGAAGCAGGAGGACATGGGTTACCATCGGCACATGCTGTCAACACACACAAACACACACAGACCTCACCAGTGGCAACCACTACCTTCATTGACAATGCATCTGACAATGACTCCAGTCTTTTAGATCTTGTAAACAGTGTGTGAAATACAGGGGGACTCACACCCCCTGACTGACAGCTCAGACCCCTACAAAGTCTTAAAATTGAATTTCAGATGGGTCTCAGAAACGTGCAGAATTGTTTTCTATATATCTACACAAGACTATTTATATGTATGAAACTTTATAAATGGTTAGCCTAATTGTTTTTAAAATAATAATAAAAAATATATAAAGGCCTATTGTATTCACTGCATTTATGGTTTTGCAGCAAACGTGATCCAGAAAGCGACTGCATTCAATGTGGGAGCGCACAGACTGTTAAAGACGCATTACAGCGGCGCACAAGGTCAGACTGACGTTAACCACTGACAGTAATGCCTGTAACATCACTGAATGGGACATTGTTATTTGTCATGGCTCCCAAGCTGCTTTTATGTGTTATTTTGTTTGCTGATGTGTAAGTAGATTTGATGCATTTTGTGCCACCTGGAGCACAAAGCACCATTCACCACAAAGGTATTCAAAAACATTGGCTCAACTAAAAACAAAAACAGAATTTGCATGGAACTGCTTTAGTCATGTATACTGGCATGTTTGCTTGGCGTCTACAGGATATGTTGTAGGCATGCAGCATCAGCTGCTGCATTACGAATATCAGTCAACATTGGGAATGATCACTCCATTACCTGGAATTAATAACATATACTGTAATGAAAACGTTTCACACGAGTATCACTTGAAATGAGTTCAGACCAACTGAATGGCCTGAATTTTACTCCAGTTCCATGATTCAATTTGCTTTAACAAGGTTTTTACATCACTTCATCTGTGAGTCTTCTCATGTCGCAAAGGATAAGAGGCAAGGTGATGTTCAGCACCTCCATTAAGAAACTCAGCATCAAAGTAATCAAAATTAAGTTCTACTGCTTTAACTGAAGACTGGTTAATAAATATTTAGTGCTTTCTGTTGAACCACTAACGATCTATCTCCCCTGCGTAGACCTCTCCAAAGATCATCCAGTATGGTTGGAAGACTATATCTCGAACTAGGCTCCAGGATGGCTCCTCATCTGGCGACAGGATGGCCTTCCTGGACACCCCGAAGCTCAGCAGCACTATTGCCATCATCACCACAATGAAGAACATGTTACTGGTCTGGGCAGACACAGAGAGAGAAGTACAATAGTATTTAAAAAAAAACACTCCAACAGATGCTTCTCTGCCTCTGTAAGAAGCCGTGTGCTGTCTCTACACACCATCTTAGTGATCATGGTGAGGTAAGGGCCAGCATGCTGATTGACAGCCAGCACATCCATCACCCTGATGAACCAGAAGATGATGTCCAGACAGTAACTGATGCGTCCTGCCGTGTGGTAGGGATCAGCATGCAAACGCATTACCAGCGCAGCCAGGAAGAGGAGAATGGCAATGAAATCCGATACGTTCCAGTACTCTGAGAACCAAATCTGCAGCTTCTGGCTCAGCTTCTTCGGCTCAGACATTAGTACCTAATCAGGTATATATATTATTGTTATGGAGCAACAAATTAATGATGATGATAATAATAATGAAATGTGTTGTTGTCTAATTACATTTGTTGTATCTTAAATTCAACACTTTTGTGAATCTTTCTGTAGACACGGCACCGCAAATCTATACACCAAATACACCGACTATCTCACCTCTCTGGTTTTCTCCAATGCAGTGGACAAAATGTACACTATGACCAGCCACTCTTGGCAACTAGGTTGATCCTCCATCTTCACCAGGATGACATAGGAGAATAACATCAAAAAGGCCAAGTAGGACATCTGAAGTGGAAACAGATGCAGCAAGATAAAATTCAAGAGACATGGAACGATGAGAAAAATATACATTAAGCAGCATACATTACATCAAAGACAATGAGGTGCAGTCATCTCATCCATGTGTGTTTTCAGAAAGAGACATACTGTATTTTACATTTATACATAACAACATGCACACCACCTACTGTGTGAAACCAGAACTTGACAACAGGGGCTGTGTAGAATTCGTAGAGTTTTGTAATGCAGGACAGCCACTGCTCGATCCCAGGAGACAGAGTTTTTGACACAGGACCAGGAGATGTTTTTTCATAGGAAGGCAGGCCACGCTCTACATCCTGACTAACCTATGAGAGTAAATGAGAGGGGGACAGGAGTCGAGAATGAAGAGAAGAGAAGCACAGTACTAAAGCTATTCAGATTCCAGTTGCACTTTGACAACAGAGCTGGTTTAGTGTACTGCTGGCACTTTACCTTGTGACCAGTTCCCTCATGGGCTGGTACTGACTTCACAGAGTCATGCCCAAACAACATCGCCTCATGGGATTGCGGTACATGGCACATTTCAGCTTTACTTTTAAACTCCAGTAGCAAGATGGCAGGGGGCAGCAGAAGGCTTAATATGATCTGAAGAAGAGAGACAAAAAATGTTTTAGAAAACCTTTGTACAATCAAAGCTTCTATGTGATGAGTCAAAACCTTATTTGATGCAGCATGGGAGAAGCAGAGTCGCCAGTCAACCTAAGCTGCATGTGTTTGGACTGTGGGAGGAAGCTGGAGTAACAGTTAATATAATCAAAGATATTCACTTAGTAATTAGGTGTTATTTGTTATAAGGGCTATATCACCCACAAAGTTATTTTTATTTTAATTTAAACCTACTAGGTTAGAGCTAAGACTTGGCAATGTAGTATGTGGTGTCCATTATTTTATTTCTAACGGGATGTGCTGAAGCACATGAACCGAACATCTGGATTGCATGTCCATTATGTTCATGTATTCATGTCTTTTTATAGCAACCAAAGCAAAGAAATCATACATAAAGACAAGAAAATCTGTGTTATGACATCATCACAGACAACAATACAGAGCTAATAACAACAAAATGTGAATTTTAACTGGTATATTTAACACCTCTTGTAATGTTTACCTTCAGAAAGGAGTTTTTTCTCATGTTGAGCGGCCCAGTCCACAGATCTGTGAGGAGGGTCTGAGTGCAGGAGTGTGAGACAAATGGTCGGTGAGACGAGGAGACAGCCATCTGCAAACAGGTGAAGTGGCTCCACGCTTCCATCTCTGACGTCAGCAGCTTCATGGCCATCTGCTCGTTCTGACGAAATGCATAGTCTAACACATCCACCGCCAGCTGACCAAACTCACTAAGACACAGGAGAGACACAGAAACATCTGCAGCTTTTCATACAATCAGTCAGTCAAACACTATAAAAAACTAAAACCCACACTGACACCACAACAAAAATTAAAGTCTTATGTTACTCCCAAAATGATTAAAGGATTGTCTAAGACAGACACACTAACAGGAGACAACTGTATCTAGATCGTCTCATCTTTTAAAAGTTTTCTGTTTTGAAAAGATCAGTTCAATCAATATAATATGATCAGAACTGTGATCAGATGAAATACATACAAAAAGTAGAATTTTTTATTTGAAAGTGAAACTCTTAACTATTATAGGTGAATATACCTGTAAATATACACTCACATTGAATATGCCTTTAATCTCTCTGCAATATTGTCATCCATATTGCTCTGCCTTGCTTCGAAAGCCATGGATCGGTAAAGCTTACAGCCCACTGTGGCACGTGCCAGTGCTTCCTCACCATGCTGCCACAGGAACAATGCCATCTGCTGTCGCTGCTGTAGTACGGCCCACACAAACAGGTCATTGAAGTTGAAGGGAACGAGCAGTGGAGCATCAAGAAGACCAGGGGTTAGTGTCATCTCTTGACTTTTCCTGGCTGACACGTTTTGTTCCTACATGGAATGGTTAAAGGGGAATAAAGAAGATGCAGAGAGGCTCAGAGTAAAGAAAGAAGACAGAAGGGAAAAAGAAGAAAAGACAGCCTGGATAACAGCTTAAAATGTAAAAATAAATGTTTGCACAAGGCTATTTTAAACATGTTAGGGCTGCCTTAGAGATCCAAACAGTGCCTACTACAGGCAAATGGTATGGCTATACATTAGTTGAGCTATAGAATCTCATTTAAAAAAAAAAACAAAAACAAAAAAAACCACAATGTATAAATTGGAATAGTTTTGATTCTGAGGATTGAATCACTTGAAGAAATTTTGCTTGATATATAACCCAAACTGGAAAAAAAAACCTCACCAACCTTGTGTTTGTAGGGCTGAGCAGTTCTAAAGAAATGGAGACTCCTGCCATGACTCCTGCCACTCTCAGAGTTGGGCATGAATTCCTGTCTCTGTTTAGACAGGGAGGTGGAAATGTCTCCTCTACCCTGCTATAAAGAGTGACACAGCAGTGAGGAGTGTGCATTGTTGACACACTGTGAGAAAAGTCAGGCCTAATTACAATTAATACAAGAAAATAACCACGTTTTCTCCAAGGCGTATTTCAAGACACAGTGAACGATGGAGCAAAAGCTTTAATTATCAGTGCTCACTTTGTTCTTTGTCCTGTAGGCAGCTCTGAAGTGTTTCCGTGTGTAGGTGCTGCTGTACGCTCCTCCTATCAGGTACTCTATCACCAGGCCCATGTCAATGAGAGAAGGACGGTAACCTATGGGAAGAGAAGTCTACTCTCACACACACACACACACACACACACACACACACACAGAGAGAGAGAGAGAGAGCAAATACACACACAGTAAGAATCTATATATTCACCTGCAGTGTACATGAATTCATCTCAGTGCAATACCCTATGAAACAGCAAATAATGTCTGAGTGAACAGTGCTGTCTGTAGTGTACTCACTTGTTTCGCATCTTCAATGAGATGGTGCAGGAAACGGTCGGTCTGCCCCTGGGGCTGTTAAGAGAAATATGTTCTTAATCAGAAATAATAGAACAGTAAGGAGAAAATACCAACTATGCAATCAGAGCACAAAATAATAATAATTATTCCAGTGGTTACTTTTTAACACAGTTGTATTTTGCACATACAGCAGCAACACTGGGCCCCTCAGCCTGTTTCTAAAGGGGACTTATTATCCCAGATTTATGTCTAAGTAAACAGGCTTTACTACGGACAAGATAAAGGCAGTGTGGAGGAAGCCAACTGTTAGTGCAGTGATGATAAAAGGTTCTGTGATCTCAAAAGTATCCAAAAAGAACAACTGGGAAAATACCCTGGATGTAATTGACCATAACACACAAAGAACCTTGGTACAAAACACTTAAGGGCGCGTTGCTGTCATTTCAAATCAAAGCCACAGTTTTGGAATTTGTGCTTCAAGAAACACAAACACAAGAACTGCCATTCTTGTGTTTGCTTAGCAAGATGAGAGCACAGGGAAAAATAAAAGAGAAGATAACACAGCAAAACAAACTAGAACACTATGGGATGAAGGTGAAAAAAAATGTAATAGTAGCTTTTTTTTATTTAAATGTTATATTTCTATTCCTGATCAATGAGATGAGAAAATCAGAAATTACAAGGGAGAGTCTCACAAACATTAGAAGTTAATAGTTAACCGTGTTGTAGAGTTCCTCGAGGCGATCCACGGTGAGAAAGCGGCTCATGGTCATGCCGTTATCAATCAGCAGTTTGACAAAACTGACGCGGTCCATCACCAGGGCATCCAGCATGGCTTGCTCCAAGGAACCCACCTAGATAGCTCACATTAAATGATTACAATCGCTCAGTACGGTCAGACAAAATTCCTCATGTGCGGTAATTTACAGTACTACAGTAATGACTTGTAATTACACCACAGCTTACACTAGTGATTTACAACAAGAGTTTCACCTGCCAGTGCTGCCCATACACCAGGATGTCTTTCTGAGCAATGTCCACCCTGTCCCAGGCCAGAGCCATGCTCAGCTGCTCGGCAGGACTGGCCTTGGTGCCTATTCATCACACACACCAAAAAACTTTCAACAAGACACGTCAAACCTGGGACTGGTCAACATACAAATAACTTCCAGTAGCTGTCCAGTAGCTGGTTTTCCTGATATAACATGTCAAAATGTCTCCAGTGAAAATGTCTGTAATCACAACCAAGAGAAGAATAACAAGTACCCTTGAGTGTAGTGGTCAAAATGGCTGCATCTGGTGCCATGTGGTCCTCTGACTCAGAATCAAAAATGGTTATCTGTTGTTCAAAGACATATTGAAGCAGAGTGAGCGGTCTATGGGCTGAATCGCAGCACACATTCAAAAATGCTGTTTTACATACAGACTCTCTGTGATCCATGCATTGCAGGAGGAGACTGTAAAGCTGAAAGGCTTCGGCTCTCTCTATTCCAAACACATCTCCAATTCTGACAAGGAAGTCCTCTTTAATGTCTGCATCCAAATGTCTAAAATGCAGCAAACATGTAAGTTATAACTGTGACATGACAATGTATAAAACTGAAGCATGACAGTGGATTAAAAAATCTATCAGTACTGATTAATCTGCTGACTATTTTTATATAATCAATTATTTAGTCTATGAAAAAAATCAAAAAATAGTCAAAAAAATCCACTGAGTTGAAGGTAATGTCTTCAAATATCTTGTTTCACTTTACCAAAAATCCAAAACCTCAGAATGCACTGAATATACAGTTTACAATGTACGGCAAAGAAAAGCAACAAAATAAATTTTTGAAAGACTGTAAACACACAGCATTTCTTTCACAATTGTTACTCGAAAATGACTGAAATGATTAATTACCTATATATATTTGTCAACTGACTGACTGAATGTAGAACAGACATGTTGGTTTATTGAAGTATTTCTACATCAAATATACCAACACCATCAAGTGAATCATGTAGAGCCACTAAGGTAAGCATACAGTACATACTTGTCGACAGCAGTCTGCTTGTGTAAGAAGGCAAGCAGGTCAGCAGCTCTGCCTGATCCTTCAAACACAAACACTGGCACAGGAGGCACACTGCTAACATAGTCCAACACTGTGGACAAAATGGCAGGACCTCCCTCCACCACCACACACACCACAGGTACTCCTTGGTTTAGCCCTACAAAGATGAGAGGAGTTGCTGATATTATGTTAGTCACATCTAAATCCCGTGCTTTTTCCACTTGCTATAGGTACTGCACAAAAATACACACAGTGACTCACGAGGGTGTATCTTCTGAAGCTGGATGTGCTTCTCCAGCTTCCTTCTGAGGCCTTGCTGGCAGCCATGTTTTCCCAGCGTTCCATCATCCACCAGTAGAAAGTGGGAGTGGAAACCATTGAGACAGGCCCTCTTGCTCAAAGGGTTCCCCACTGGCTGGTAGGGCCTGAACACCTGAACCGTGTTAGGGGAAGGTCACACCAGGAGCCAACGAGCAGTCAGTCAGAGTAACACCATGCACTAGAGCATGTTAGAAACCTGTAAATCTTTTTTGTACTGAGGTTGTGTAATCCCATTCCACAAGAAACAAAATGTTAGTACTCACATCTCTGCCTATAAGGTCCGTGTTGTCGATCGTTCCCCACGGTGTGACGCCGACTGTATTTCTCTTCCTCAAGTCATGGCCCCCAAACATTTTCACGGCCTCGCCGACATACTTAGACACACCTAGATGACATGTACAGATTAGCATTAAAAAAGAACATTAAAGAAGTCAACTTTAATGTTGCATTACAATCAAATTCTTCTTGGTGAAACTGAAATGGACATAGAATGCAGCTACAATGAAACAATTAGACTCTGGGACACTGAGCATGAATGTGTTGAGTGGGGCTTTACGCAAAGAAACTGGTGGAATTCATATCCTATTCATGGAGGCATGCGAGGACAAGGGGTTCCTCAGCTATGTCACACCAGTACTGATTAAACTGAGTCTCATCCTACCCTTAAGCCGCCATGCTATTAATGTGAGTACACATCAGAACCTAGCCAAAAATCAAATGTCAATCAAAACCATAGGTTCGACATGTTCAAGAGTAATAAGTAATACTGACCCACACACACATACCATAGATCTTATACCACCTACCTGTATTAATGCCATCAGTGAGTATCCAGGCCCCTGTGCTGCGGGCAGCTGTGATCAAGCCTTTGCTGAAGGCCTCCTTGACTTTAGGGGGCAGGCTGAAGTTTTCCGTGCCTCCCTGGACAATCAATAGCAGCTTGGGTCTCTCCATCTGCCACTCCCTCAACATGAGTTGAAGCAGCAGCTCTGGCTTTGAGTCCACAGCCAGACGCACATACTGGATGGGAAACACATGGACCTCATGGGACTGAGAGTCTCCAGGTGCTTCACTCAACCCTAATGCTAGTGTGACTGTTTTCACTACTGTTTACCTTAGATAGTATCTTTGCTTTAATGCAGCTCTCTAATGTCTGCTTACATCACAGCAAACCAAGGCTTGTTTATACAGCCATTAAAATCCATTAAAATAGACTCACAGACCTTAGCCCGACAGACACGTGTGGCAGTATCCTGAAAGTCTATGGTCCCATAAGCATTGGTTGGACTGGCTTTGGTGTGGAGCTTGATAGACCAGCCATTTTCCACATCCTGTCCAGGACCAGGACAATGGGATATGGGAGGAAGGGACTCTTGAGACGAATGCTCCCCGATCAGGCGACCACAGCAACATCTGGTCAATAAAAAGAATTTTAAATGGAAGAATACAAAAAATTGGAAATGAGAAGTAGCAGAAATGTTGGTTCATTTCTAATCTTAAAACAATCACTCACTTACATTTCACCTGTTTATTCAAGTGGTCAAATATATATATTTAAAGGGATTTGGAAAAAAAGAAAAATAGGCATATTACTATTTTTTGACACCTCATAATCAACCTATAAGTGGTTCTTATAATCAAAATGTTCCAGTCTCTCTCCTATAGCGACATGTATTTTTGGCAAGACACTCCTATCATTCACTATTTGGTGAATTTTAGATAAACGTAAAAGCAAATGACTGGTGGGAAATCCAAATGAGATATTTCCCTAGTCTATTTAGGGATGATATGTGGAAAAGTCTGAGGTGATTTTGATAAAATGGTTTGGCAAAATTTTTAGTGATACTCTTTTAAAGCTAAAAAGAAAAGTAGGGTTATTAGACTGTATGTCACAAGTACCCGACAGGCCTCCACTTGGCCTGTTTAAGCCAGGCTGCTACAGTTCCTCTTCTTTTCCTGTTTCCCTCCCTTCCTCTTCACCTCCCTATGTCCTTCATCCAAGTGTTGAAAACTCACACGTTCATAAATGCAGTAGCTTACACTATTGATATCACCAATGTCCACACCTTGTGTTTATTCTTTCAAATAGCAAAGAAACTAAATAAAGACCTAGGCACAATTACTTTCCAGTTTGTGATACATTAAAAGATTATTATTTTATGAATATGCAGTGGCATTCATGAAATGTAATAGAAATAGAAACAGAGCCTAAGGGGGAAATGTTGATATAAAGGGTGTGAAAAAACGTGACATACAAATTGACACAATAAGAAGACATGTCAAGGTTTGAGGGTTGTATTCAGACTTATATAAACACACAAATCATAAATTATACCTGATTAGGTTTTGGCATACTTGGCATACTGGAACACATCTGTGAAAAACAGAAGATAACACATTGGCAAAGACTCCACATGGTCCCTGCTCCTGGTAGAAAGGGCTGAATGCCAAATAGTTCTGCACTCAGAAAGATGTCATGTCCAAACACCACTGTTAATATTACACTACGCACTCACTAAAGACATCACCCTGTAACTTTCATCTAAGAATCATAAAATGCTGAACTTTAACACTCAACAGGGCAATCCAGGTTACCTGTGTAGCTCTCGAGAGGAAGGGATAAACTTCACACACTCTCTCTTGAAGAAAGTTTCCGCAATCCAAGACTTTCCTGACTGGAATAAGAAGAGAAAGCATTTACTTACACATCACCAATCCTGGAGTATAGCTAAGCACTATATTCCCAACTTCCAAACTCATCCTCCAGCAAGAAAACACGCTATTACTAATCACTGACCTTCTCAGTGAAGCTCATTGCAGTGCTGGTGTCAGTAGCTGAACCCACAGGAACCTAAGTTCTCTCATAAAAACATTGACAGCCTGTATGACAAACCGTCACGTTCACAGCGGCCTTTACTTGCATCCCCCAGGTCTACCCTGCTCCTGTGCTCCCTTTCCCAGCCAGATTTAACAATGGCCTAACAGAGGAAAACATTGTTGATGGGAAAACACACACATCCGCTTCCTGAGATTAATAACACATGGTTGGGGAGTAGGCGTACTCCCTCCCTCAGACTGTATAAACACGAAACAAAAGGTCTGAGGTGTATCTAATGAATTCCAGTGATTTGACAATAAACGTCTTTTTAGACAATAAGCCTCACTAGTTTGCTGCAGCTGCAATAAGAAGTAAGAACTGCCACGTGACCAACAACAAAACACAAATCAACTCATGCACTACCTTAAAGATAATGTATGGATCTACAGTATATGGGAAGTAGTTATGTAGATTTATGGCAGCTTAAAAAGGTGTATATTAAAATAAATCCATAATTTAAGATGTATGCAAGCGAGGCTGTTCTGCATGATAGCGTAGATATCAACCTTATAATTGTAGGCAAAATAGAAATGTAACATCTGAATGCAATGAAATAGTTTTTGGTAACTCACCAAAATGACAATCACTATATTGCACTGGTTATTATGCAGCATTACATTAAAATCATAACTGCAATCAGATACTTAAGTAAACCACACAGCTTCCTCTGAAATGCTGTTGTTGAAGTATAAAGTTTTCATAAGATGTACATACAGAATAAAAGTACCAGTATCCTAGACAAACTCAGTAAGATACAGTAATGTTATGCTAATTTAAGTAGTTAGCTAGTTACCGTAACACTGCAAGGTCAGCTAATTTGGTTGGTACTGGTTATCTCATCTAGGTAATGTGTAGCTCCTGCTAGTCCTATATAAATGTAGTTTACCAGTACACTCTATAAGTAGTACATTAAGTGCATGTAAGATAGAGAATGTACAGACTACAATGGTTTTACTAAGCTTGTAAGCTGGCTACATGTTTTAGATAACATACAAATCACAGCTAAACTTTGCTAATAAGTAAATTAGCTATTTGTACACTGGCTACCTCTTCAGTAGCTTTTTGTATTAGTTATACACAACTTACCATGGCTGTACACTCCAATTAAAAATGTGTGGCTCACAAGTCACAGTCAGACATCTTGAGTCAAACTCCACTTCATCACAACTTCCCTCACAAGACACCCGCCCCCCCGCCCCATCAGCAGCTGATCCAAAGGTCAGAGACCTCTCCCTTCTAATATGCAGCTCTTTCAACTCCTGAACTGATAACAAATAGGTTATGTTTGGTTTATGTTGGTTTACCTGATCTCTGTTAGTGTTGACTATGTATATTGCATGGCTTTAAATTACTTCAAAATTTCAATCTGTAACTTTAAATGCTGTAGATTATCAGGCATTATTTACAAGTCTGATCTTCTAGTTCACGGTTTTTCAGTAGATCAAATGACACTACCCCTCACAGATATCCAATAAACAATCATAAATCACACAAGAGTACAGACAATGGTTTTATTGCCAAAGAAATATAGAGTTATTACTATATGTGCACACCCTGTTGCTTTAACATTATTCACATATGCTTATAAAATATTACTGGGATTCAGTAGAAAACAAAACACTGCTGGCAATGTTGTACACCAGGCTATATAAAAATACTTCACACAATGCATATAATTAAACAAACATTTAGGATAATCTACAATTAAAGGATGGATGGACATCCCTTCACAAATGTTTAGAGAAATTCCACCTGCTTGCTCACCACCGAAACAACGGCATAGTTACAGTGCAGATCTCCCTGTTGCTTCACCCACTGTTAAGTGATGGAGATCTTGCAGTGGCATGAGGCTCACAGACTCACTACAGCTTGTATCAGTCTGACAGGGCCACACTGACAGGTTTGTGACATCAGGCTGTTGCATCCAACCTGGATGCATTTTAAGCAACCGTAGTGTGCTTTTGATGTGTCTACCTGCTGATGAGCATCAAATTTTCATTATCATGCCTGCCTGCTGATGTCAGGACTACATAGAACAGACTCACTGCACCCATCATGTCTCCATGGCATCAGAAGAAGAGTGTTTGATTTTTGACTTGTCTTTTGTTTGGGAATGGTCATTGTCTTCTAGCAGTGAAAGGTCAAGTTCAGGCAGTGGGACCCTCCAGTACTGGAAGGAGTTGTAAGAGCAGTCTTCAGGGTTTTTGTCTGCTTCAGCCTGAAAGGAATGAGAAAGAAAAACTGAGCTCAGAGTAGCTAGCACAAGTTAGATCAACCAAACCTGGGTAAAATCAGCCATATTTTACGCACTAAGTGTTTTATGGACAATTACAGCGAGTTATTCAATTGATAAAAGCTGACATCTAGTGGACGTTCGTTGCAATTACACAATTTACTTTTCTTTAGACAGAACTGCTATCTAGACTGTAAAAAATACCAACGCATGTAATTGTGTACAAAACTTACGCCATCATTAGTTTTAGAGACAACGGTCTCTGAACCCACGCAGTCCTTCCGAGCTTGTTTCTTCTTGGTTGTTCGGGCGCTGGAGCTGCCACGGTCCTGGAAACTTCCAGAAGTCTGCAGCGACAAAACACTGGAAGCAGGCTTCCTAGTGTCGCAGTGTTTGGGCTTATGACAAAGACCTGCTGCTGCTTCTTGTTTCTCTGGGTCTTCGAAGTGGTATGGCCTCTTTCTGCAGCGGTTGCCGAACAAAGCCAGCAGGGACGGTGGGCTCACAGCCCGCGTCGAAGACATGCTCTCCATCTGCATGTCAACGCTACAACGTGAACGGCAACATCTTTTGGACGGGGACTCGTCCAGCACAGTGTCCTCGGCGCGTCTCTTTGCCATGAATATTAGCTCAGCAGCAAGCTAAAGATACACGTAGTATTCTGACAAAGGTACTACCTATGTTAAGCATGGATATGCTGCAAGTTCAGTAGCACAACATTGAGCACTAATTATTGCGAGACAGACCTGCTGTCCAATCAGAGGAGAGTACCGCTGTCAGTCCCGCCCAGAGCCTCCACTCCTCCCAGTGACGCTTCCTGTGGCGGGTACATGGTACGTTCATGCTGATCCCGAAGAGAGACCCCCTTCAAAAAAAGTTGACCAGTCAAAAAAAAAAAAGAGTAGATAATAAATGCTTAATGATTAGGATTATTCTGTTGTTCTCTATTTTTGTAAATATGTAAAACACAGGAATTATTCGACAAAGTATTATGTATATTTTTCCCAATGGTTTGACAAAGTACTGAGATTGTTTACTTAAATAAACGCAGCAATACCTTTATGAAAATACTGCTAAAAGTTACTTATGTACAAATGTAAAAGTATTAAAAATCCCAAAAGTACCAAAGTAACTATACTCATAATGCAGATTGGCACAGTTTAATAGATGTACATCATTTGATTATAATTATTAATGCATTGTTGTTTTTGTCACTTTATTGTTGCAGCTGGTAAATTTCCCACTAGGCATAAATAAACTCTCACCATAATACTGTATTTTTGTGCAGTTAGCAAGATTCTGAAAAGTAACAAGTTATCCAATAAATCTAGTGACATAGAGTACAAACTGCATTTAAAATGTAGTGGCATCAAAGTATGATGTAGCAAAAATTAGAAATACTTACCGATACCTCCAAATTATACTTAAGTACAGCTCTGGAATAAATGTGCTTAGTTACTACTTGATTTTGCCTCAGGAAGTAGAGCAGCTGTCCCCCAACCAGAAGGCCTGTGATTCAGTTCCCCTTCTCCCCAGTGCACATGTCAAAGTGTCCTTGGGTAAGACACTGAACCTCAGGTTGCTCCCGTTGGCCAGTGCCTTGCAGGGACAGCTACCATCAGTGTGCATGTGTGTGTGTGTTGGCGCTGCAGATGGCTGCCTCGATTCTATACCGGAGACAAATTCCCTGTGTGTGTAACATACCTGTCCAACAAAAGTGATCATCATCATATTATTTTGTTTTTTTATTGCAGGATCTAACCACTCACCCCATACTGCTGCATCCCTCAGAGTTCCAAGAAAAAAACACCACAGACATGGCCTCACTGTCTAACCTATAAATATCCTAAATGGATGTGCCCTCATACATGACCTCTCAGCTTCATGAACCATCCTGGTCCTCATAGTAGGGATCCTTTTGGTCACAGAGTTAAAAAAAACAAGTTAGAGGCTTGTTTTTGGAATAATCTCTCCGTTCACATTAGATCTTCTGAGTCGGTCAAAACTTCTTTTCACTTTGAGTTACAGGTGCAGTCAGATGTTTGCATACGCCTTAGCCAAATACATTTAAACTCCGTTTTTCACAGTTCCTGACATTTAATCCTATAAACATTTCCTGGCTTAGGCCAGCTGGATCATTAGTTTATTTTAAGAATGTGAAATGTCAGAAAAATAGAGAAAAAGATTTCTTTCAGCTTTTATTTCTTTCATCACATTTCCAAATCTGTTTTAATGACTTCAACCTAAGTGCATGTAAACTTCTGACTTCAACTGTGGGTACTTATGGAGTAAGCTTTTATCAGGAAAGCCACTGACATATCACAGTTAGAAAGCACAGTTGTAAATAATAAAATTAATAATAGCGGATTCAGTTTTAGTGTCGTGCATGCTGGCTTATTAATACTGACTTGAAGCACAAATTAAAAATGAAATTCAAGCATGCATTTCCTATTTTGCTGCATTCTGCAGCTGACAAACATAATGTGACCCCTCGCTTAAGTTAAAATGTCTTCAGTAAAAATATTATATATATGTATTCCTTTTAGCATTTTAAAACAAGTACTAGCAGGACGCATCACATGACAACATGAAAACAGGTCTAATAAAAAAAAAATTTAACTGTGTTTACTTTAATTGTGTGAAACAGTGGTACTGAGCCAATGTTAACTTTGTCAGTACCACCTGTGCTTTTCCTGCTAAATGCCTGCGGTGAAATACTGTATATCCATTACAGTTTAGTGTCACACTGTATCTGCCTCCTAACGAAGCACATACAAAACATTTTGCTTTTTCAGTGCTTGCTGAAACAAATGAACACTTTTCTAAATGGGCCTATAGAACTGAACTTGTGTTATGCAGATGTTGAAATGATTTCAAACATGATATAGTAAAACTTTGGAGAGTCCTATTTTTTAAATGTTTGGCTTTATTCCAAAGTGTGACTAGAAACGAGAATGGTCAATGAACATCATCCCCAACTTAAAAGAACTTTTTCCTGAAAAGGCAACTGATGATCAGTGCAAATGAGTATCTGTAGTTATTGGCACCATATTTGAAATAATAGATTTCAAAAGGAAATATTCACATCACATTCTCGGATGACACACGCAGTAAAAGTCACTGAAGATAAGAATGAGTAACAGCGCAGTGACCGAGTAGTAAAAAGAAATGTACTCTTCAAGTTTTGCAGCTGACACATAAAACAGTAACACTGAATTGCACCCAAGAGTAATGAACTCATCTCTAACCAAGGATGTAGTATGTATGTAGCATGGTATTTAGATGTTTTTCAGGTTCTACAGATAACACAGTACTGCAGTATTCAATCTCACATTGTACAGTCTGTGCCATAGCCTGTCTGACAAACACGGGGCCTGTGGAGTTGTGCACATTTCTCCAGATGGACCATAAAAAAAATGTATATGACAAAAAATAGAAACAAAATAAAAACAAAATGATGTCCACCGACTCTTTTTTTCTTCTGTGTCAGTTGTTTTTCTTTTTCATTTTGTCAGTCCAACTTTCTCACGCTTGTCTAAGTTCACCAATTTTGTAAAAGGATTTCCTGTCACGTCAGAGTGTCGGTGCCCTCCCGCCGCGGTGACTTGGCAGCCCGTGGAGAACTCTGTTGTTGGCTGTCTTCTTGATTGTTAAAGTACAGGTATGCAGGTTTTCGTGCAACAAAGAAGACACAGTCATAAACATACCTCAACATAGAACGGTCATTCTCAGTGTAGGTGGTCTGCATCGACTCTTTCTCCACCTGCAGGAGAAATGTGAATACTGCTTCACCACCAGAAAATATAAAATATACATATAAAATAAATATTATGACTATTAATTAAAGCCCTCGGTGTACCTCAATATGGAAGCCCAGTTTAACCATCGCTGTCCTAATATCTTCATAGCTGAGTTCAACAGAGAGCTCATTGGCAATGTTCTCAAAGTGATACAGCAGTGGGCCTGCAGAGACATTGAAAATGTAAACTTTGAGATGTTTACTGAGACACTCAACTCAGACACAACACTGCCTCTAGGTTCCCTGTGTGCAATCTATAAAATGGAAGTACTTCTGTTTAAGTAAATTGGGTAAAATCAGAAAAACAAACAAAAAAAGTATTAAAGTTACAGGGAAAATGCATCCAACAGTGTTGGAGTGTGTTAAAGTAAAATTATTTGCAGGAACACAAAGTAATATACTGGCAACTTGAGTACAAGTCTATGATCATGTATTTGCGTTTTTGTTTTTTTTTTTAACTTTGGAGGTTCTGTCAGCAGGTTAGCTGCACAGGAAAAGCATTTACTTTCCTAGTATAGTTCACATCTTACCCAAACTGACTCACCCAGGTTGATCCACACCCCACCGGGTTTCAGAATCTTCCATATGGTCTCCAAATACTCAATGACATTATGAGCTGTGTCAATAAAGAAGCAGGTTGCCACACAGTCCCAGGAATCTGACAGACACAGATATTATGACAATCACTTTTAATCAGTATTACTAAGGTGCACAATTCACAAATAATCAATTATTCATCATTTACAGTACAGTCACATCAACGTGACTGATTTCATTTTAATATGTGGTTTTTAGAGAAAACATTATGATATACACTTTTCACTATATGAATATTAATTAGTAACAGTAGTATAACATAGCAGCACAGTACAATGTAATTACTCAATTTTTTTATGGCCATGGTGTAAAGACTGTAAGAACACTAGATCAAGGACACTTGTCTTGTAGAGCCTAGTGATGGGAGCTCAGCTGAAAGCACATTTTCAATAGAAAAGAAAATTCATTCTTGCAAGACTTCAAATTCTCAGAAAAGCTGAATACACAGAGTTGCCTGAAATCCTTAGAGGCATATTTCTCTTCCATGGTCTATGCAGTTTGGCTGCTTACTGCTTACAAAGGTGTAAAACACCGAGAGCTTTTACTTACTTGAGTCAGTGTAGACTTCCACAAAGTCTCCTGCTACCATAGAGAAGTCTGAATTTAGTGGTAAGCTCTGAGGGTTGACATCCGGAAATCTGACTGGTCGTGTTTGGTCAGAGGATTTCTTGTTGTTGCTGAACTGGTGGATCCAAGGGTACAGGGTCAGAGCATTCACCTTTTCACACCTGAATGGAGCAGTCCAAATGTATGAAGATAGGTGGGTGGATACTATTCTGCAGAGTGTGCTGCCAAAAACTAAATACAAATGATGTATTTTGATTTTCTTTGCAATTACTGACACATATGTTTAGAATTAAGACTAAGAACTGAGTGTGACTAATATGCAGTTCCACATCAAGCAAGCAAAGATACCCTGTATGAATGTATACATAGGAAGGTGATAGACCTCAGGTGTTGTCTGGAGTCACAGGAGTGTTAGTGTCTGTGTATGCTTTACCTATTGAGAACAAAATTTGAGGAGAAGAGCATGAAGAGACTCCATTCATTGCCCTGGCATATATAACCCAGTCGCGCTATCTCCCAGGCTAGACGGCCAAGCCCAGCGCCCGGGACCAGCACGCTCACCTTAGACACATCACTGACATAATAAAATGCACATATCACATAGAAAACACTAAGTCACATAATCAGAATCATTACAAGCTGTCTGTTTGTATCACTATGTAATCATATGCATTTATTTCTGTGTTCTATTTTGTGTACGCCTGGCTGAAATATGCAGAGTGGCGTGCATGTGTCTGTCTAAGGGCGCATGTGTCTTTCCTACTATTGGTCACTTGGGAAGAGTCTTTGGATCTCTTGGATGATAGGCTGGTAGCAGGAGTCCCTCTCCACCTGGCCCGCCTCACTCCAGTCCCTCACAAACTGCTTTATGGTGGACTTAAGCTTGTCCATATCAAATGTAGAGGATGGGCGCACCTTCCTCGGATCCTCCTAGCAGGAAGAGGGATACATCTACATAAAGTCTTCAAGTAAATAACAGTAAAGAAAACTATAACACAGTTTCCTTTTGCAGCCTTGAATCTGGTTTAAGTCAAGCCTTACCCTCTCACCATACTCAATATTCTCAAACATGTGGAGGCTGTTGTGAACAATGGCCTGCAGCACCTCCTGGTTGTGGTCCGCACACTGGCTGATCTGGGCCATTTTGGGCAAAACACTTGGCAACAAACTCTGGTGACGCTGGGGGAGGCTCCAAAACTGACGCTCCGCACGTTTGACCTGCTCCTGGACATGAACCCTGGCAGAATGAAACGGAAGAGAGAGCAAGGGTTTTAATTTCAGTTGTACCCAGAGGTGACACAATACACCTCCAGAAACAATACCTGTAAGGTAAGGCCTGATTTTAGCTCAATGATATAGCGTGGGTCAACTTCTCTGGTCAAACTGGATTATTTACTGTTGCATCATATCATTCCTCTCTTAAATTTACCTTGAAAGAAATTTCAAGAGGGAAAAAGGGTGGATCATGGAAAAGTGGTGCAATGACATAAGTGCAATTCGGGTTAGAAATTTAGCAACTAAATGCCGCATGAACCTCAACCTGGTCAAATACAAGCAAACCTAACAGTGGGAAGTACTAACCAATACCTGAATAACGATGAACTATCACAGTTAACGTTAGCATTTCCCCTTCAAACCTAGTTAGACGCACTTTGCTTTTGTTATTTCCAACAACATGGTTTGCTAAAACAAACTGTCGTTACCCGAAGAGTACTCTAATTTAAAGCATTTTTAATATACCTGTAAAATCGAAACGCATCGATTATTCTCCAAAAATGCTGCCTTTCCAGATTGGCCTCCTCCTCAGGGCTGCATTTCATTCTTTCTTTGTGAAAATATGACCCATCTTGAGCTCCTTCTCCAGCTATGTCGGCCATGTCTGAAACAAAGTTACAGCCATCCAATCAGTACGATAATGTTCTTCTTCGCGGGTTTTTTTTTTCAACAAACCAGACTACTAGACCTATTACTGCCACCCAGTGTCGGATCGGATGCATAAAGGAAACAAATGAACAAATTAATATAAAATAATACGTATTATTAGGACAAATATTTTAAAGACATAATGAGATCCATTAACCCGTAACAATACTGTAGACTTTAAATAGCTTCACAAAGCAGCTACACAAATAATGTATTGTGCCTGAATTGGTTTTCATAGCCTATACTGAAATATTGAAAAAGACACCCTTTGTTACAGTTTGTGTTGATGATTTAATTATAAATTGGTAAAACCTCAGTTTTGCCTATCAGTCTACACTCATTAATCCATAATGACAAAGTGAACACACATTGTAGACATTTTTTAAATAAATGTATTAAAAGTCAAGACTAAAACCTCTAATTTATAAAAGTACTCAGACCCAGATTTGCTGTCACACAAACTGTGGTTAGGTGTACTGACTTTCTGTACTTTCTGAATATGTTATCACAGTATAGAGATATAGAATGCCACCTGGGAGCTTGTAAAAAATTTTCTATCATGCCTAAGATTAAATGTAATGTATACTCTGTCATAATATAGGGGCATTGTCATTAATGGACTAAAACACAAAAAACTGCCTTGGCATTTTTATCTTTCCAAAGGCAGTGCCACCAATTCCTATTGCAATAAAGTAGATTAGTACAGTCCTTCTCCCTCTTCTTAGGGGTTCAGAAAAGCTAAGTGAATTACATATACTGTATTCATTATTAGTACAGTGCCTTGCGAAAGTATTCGGCCCCCTTGAACTTTGCGACCTTTTGCCACATTTCAGGCTTCAAACATAAAGATATAAAACTGTAATTTTTTGTGAAGAATCAACAACAAGTGGGACACAATCATGAAGTGGAACGAAATTTATTGGATATTTCAAACGTTTTTAACAAATAAAAAACTGAAAAACTGGGCGTGCAAAATTATTCAGCCCCCTTAAGTTAATACTTTGTAGCGCCACCTTTTGCTGCGATTACAGCTGTAAGTCGCTTGGGGTATGTCTCTATCAGTTTTGCACATCGAGAGACGGAAATTTTTGCCCATTCCTCCTTGCAAAACAGCTCAAGCTCAGTGAGGTTGGATGGAGAGCATTTGTGAACAGCAGTTTTCAGTTCTTTCCACAGATTCTCGATTGGATTCAGGTCTGGACTTTGACTTGGCCATTCTAACACCTGGATATGTTTATTTGTGAACCATTCCATTGTAGATTTTGCTTTATGTTTTGGATCATTGTCTTGTTGGAAGACAAATCTCCGTCCCAGTCTCAGGTCTTTTGCAGACTCCATCAGGTTTCCTTCCAGAATGGTCCTGTATTTGGCTCCATCCATCTTCCCATCAATTTTAACCATCTTCCCTGTCCCTGCTGAAGAAAAGCAGGCCCAAACCACGATGCTGCCACCACCATGTTTGACAGTGGGGATGGTGTGTTCAAGGTGATGAGCTGTGTTGCTTTTACGCCAAACATAACGTTTTGCATTGTTGCCAAAAAGTTCGATTTTGGTTTCATCTGACCAGAGCACCTTCTTCCACATGTTTGGTGCGTCTCCCAGGTGGCTTGTGGCAAACTTTAAACGACACTTTTTATGGATATCTTTAAGAAATGGCTTTCTTCTTGCCACTCTTCCATAAAGGCCAGATTTGTGCAGTATACGACTGATTGTTGTCCTATGGACAGAGTCTCCCACCTCAGCTGTAGATCTCTGCAGTTCATCCAGAGTGATCATGGGCCTCTTGGCTGCATCTCTGATCAGTCTTCTCCTTGTATGAGCTGAAAGTTTAGAGGGACGGCCAGGTCTTGGTAGATTTGCAGTGGTCTGATACTCCTTCCATTTCAATATTATCGCTTGCACAGTGCTCCTTGGGATGTTTAAAGCTTGGGAAATCTTTTTGTATCCAAATCCGGCTTTAAACTTCTCCACAACAGTATCTCGGACCTGCCTGGTGTGTTCCTTGTTCTTCATGATGCTCTCTGCGCTTTAAACAGACCTCTGAGACTATCACAGTGCAGGTGCATTTATACGGAGACTTGATTACACACAGGTGGATTCTATTTATCATCATTAGTCATTTAGGTCAACATTGGATCATTCAGAGATCCTCACTGAACTTCTGGAGAGAGTTTGCTGCACTGAAAGTAAAGGGGCTGAATAATTTTGCACGCCCAATTTTTCAGTTTTTTATTTGTTAAAAAAGTTTGAAATATCCAATAAATTTCGTTCCACTTCATGATTGTGTCCCACTTGTTGTTGATTCTTCACAAAAAATTACAGTTTTATATCTTTATGTTTGAAGCCTGAAATATGGCAAAAGGTCGCAAAGTTCAAAGGGGCCGAATACTTTCGCAAGGCCCTGTATGTCCCCTTTGGTGCCCTGTATACTTGGTCCAGTCACTGTCAAGTCCCATCTTGTTTTCAAATTATATTAAAAGTTGTTACACTACATAAGATAATATGGGGCTTTCATTATGTAAGCCAAGCCATAAAATTCTTGTTCAGCAAGATTTGATCATGTTTGAATGCTGAGTGATTTAAGTAATGAATAAGCAGTTGACAATACATTACGCATTATATTGCATTATATTTGGGCTGACATGGCATTTAACTTTCCTCAGTGCTGACCTGTTGGTAATCAACCTTGGCAGCCCGTGATTTGAGAAAATACTCTATTTCAGAAAAACTGGGATTATCAAATCAAATCAAATTTATTTATATAGCACTTTAAAAACAACATCCAGTTGACCAAAGTACTTTTCATAAAATAAAATCACAATAAATAACTAAAATAAAATCGATTCAGTGCAAAAATAAAACAATAATTCAGACACACAGATGACACACATTTAATAAATTAGATTAAACGGAAATCATCAGGCCCAATTGTGCATCAGGTCAGTAGCTGATCTCACATTAAAAGGTAGACTATTTGCACAATTCAGGGGCTGCATCAGTAAAAGCACGATCACCCCAGCATTTATATCTGGCCATAGGAACCTCTAAATGAAACGGGCTTGAAGATCTGAGGGACCTTGTAGGTTTGTGCCAATGCACTAGTTCAGTGAGGTAAGATGGCGCCAAACCATTAAGAGCCTTAAAAACAAAAATTAACAGTTTAAAATCAATACTAAAATGGACTGGAAGCTAGTGGAGAGAAGCCAGAACTGGGGTTATATGCTCAAATTTTCTGGCACTTATCAGAAGACAAGCAGCAGCGTTTTGAACCATCTGAAGACGAGAGAGGGAGGACTGGTTAACACCATAGTATAGAGCATTGCAATAGTCAAGGTGGGAAGTGAGAAATGCATGGATTGCAATCTCAAAATCATTAAAAGAAAGGAATGAATTGACTTGACTTAACAACCTGAGGTGGAAGAAGCTAGATTTCACAACTGAGTTGATTTGCTTGTCAAACCTTAACTTGCCATCAAACCCCTAGGTTTTTACATTCGACTTCAGATGACGAGCCAGGGGGCCCACACCCTCGTCAAAAGAGGTTAAGTTCGACAAGTCTCCAAAAAGCACACACTCAGTTTTATTTTCATTAAGATTTAAAAAGTTAAGTGCCAGCCATGATTTCAAGTCTGTCAAACAGTCAAACAATGGTTGTAATGACATTCCTCTCGCTGCCTTCAGTGGATTATAGGCTGCATGAAAACTGTGTTTGTGTCATATCTAATAAGAGAAATATATCAGTGCTTTTTCTCGCTGGTGTCATGATTCGGTTCCACTGCTTCCCGTCTGGCTTTTATTTTGACACTATTTCCTGTTTTGTTTCACCTTAGTTCTGGTCTTTTCTTTACGTTCTTCATCACTCACATTAGTTTCACCTGTTTCATTATTATGTGCACCTGTTATATATTTGCACTGCTTTAACACTGTAAATAAATCACTACTTGCATCGAAGCCAGCCGCCTGGGTCTGCTAATTTCTCCGCTCGCTCACATTTGTGTCGAGCGTTCATAACACTTTCAGTCTGAGGGTATTGCTCCATGGTGACAGGTGTTTTCTGGTGAACCATTTGCATACAGTATATCATAGTGATAGAGACCTGGGACATACGTATGTTCGTGCCTGGCGTCAACATAGCGTAGATGTAGTTTACACAAGTTCCCTATATGGAAAGCAACTTGTGGGACATTAAGTTACTCTTTTAAATCTTATCTATACATTACGCATTATATTGCATTATATTTGGGCTGACATGGCATTTAACTTTCCTCAGTGCTGACCTGTTGGTAATCAACCTTGGCAGCCCGTGATTTGAGAAAATACTCTATTTCAGAAAAACTGGGATTATCAAATCAAATCAAATTTATTTATATAGCACTTTAAAAACAACATCCAGTTGACCAAAGTACTTTTCATAAAATAAAATCACAATAAATAACTAAAATAAAATCGATTCAGTGCAAAAATAAAACAATAATTCAGACACACAGATGACACACATTTAATAAATTAGATTAAACGGAAATCATCAGGCCCAATTGTGCATCAGGTCAGTAGCTGATCTCACATTAAAAGGTAGACTATTTGCACAATTCAGGGGCTGCATCAGTAAAAGCACGATCACCCCAGCATTTATATCTGGCCATAGGAACCTCTAAATGAAACGGGCTTGAAGATCTGAGGGACCTTGTAGGTTTGTGCCAATGCACTAGTTCAGTGAGGTAAGATGGCGCCAAACCATTAAGAGCCTTAAAAACAAAAATTAACAGTTTAAAATCAATACTAAAATGGACTGGAAGCTAGTGGAGAGAAGCCAGAACTGGGGTTATATGCTCAAATTTTCTGGCACTTGTCAGAAGACAAGCAGCAGCGTTTTGAACCATCTGAAGACGAGAGAGGGAGGACTGGTTAACACCATAGTATAGAGCATTGCAATAGTCAAGGTGGGAAGTGAGAAATGCATGGATTGCAATCTCAAAATCAT